GGGACAGCAGGTATAAGAAGCTGGTCATTGAGTTTCCATTTGRCCAAGGGCAGGGTCAGCTGGCCAGGGTCCAGGAAAAATAAGATCTTCCTCAGTAAATGGAGCAGCGGTGCCATGGAGATGTGCAGTGGCCACCACCACTTCTAGCTCTTGCCTCTTGCTGTACTGTGTCAGCAGATGGGGCACAGGTACTTACCAGAGCTTTCTGATTGAGCATGGGTGGGTCCTAGGCCTTCTAGCAATGGTTGGGCCATCTATTTTYGGGTGTTGATCCATCAGCCCAGATCCCATCACGGGCACCCATCCCTCCACAGAACCAGACTGGGCCTCATCCTCTGTGCTCTAGGGTTGAGCTGCAAGTCTGATTTGCATCCAGGTCACGGTYTTGTTGGAGCACAGTTAATGGAGGAGAGAAGTACCCACTGGGAAGACAAGTTTGGAAAGTTTGGACTTGGCTGGCCACCTGAGCTGGGGCACAGAGGGCAGCCTCACATGGGTCATATGAGAGCGCCACACTTGTGCCTGCAGCGGGGGGATTCTCCTCCACACAGGTAAGCCAGCAGGGGACTGTGACCGTCTGGCCTCCTGCGCCTGGGCTGACCCAGGGGAAGCTGCACACAGTTGCTGGTCTCTAGTGAGGCTTCATAGCCGCCCACCATCTGCCCGAAATGGCCGGAGACGGGGAAATAGAATCCGTGCATTTTAAAATCCAGAAGGAAGGGAAACTCCACCCGGGAAACATAACCCCAAGTACTGTGCTTGGAAGCAGGATGTTTAATTGCCAAACCTTTCTTGAGACCCAGCTGCCKGGTAATGTTATCTTGGCTGCTCCTGAGACCAGAGGGGGTTTATCTGGGCCCCTGACGCAGGCTCGGTAAACAGAGCTGGCTTTCTCGGGTGACCTCCGCCCTGTCCCCCTTCCCAGCACCTGCTCTTTCTCTGCAGTTTATCTCTAAAGTTTCCWGCGCCAGCAGGGAGACCTAAGAAACTCCGGTGTCAGGGTAGGGCTGCTAGGAATAGGCCAGGCTGGAATTTTGTGTCCCCATCACTCATTTGGAGGGATAATCTAGGATATTCAAGGTTTGGAAGAAAGCAGACAGGCCGATGAGAGAACAGGCTCTGGAGACTGTCCTCGTGTCCTGGGCTTATCTCTAGAGAGGACTTTGACTATTTCCTCAATGCAGGGAGCCTCTCGCACATCCCAGAAACTTCAGAGAAACTGAGAGTCTACCCCCTGCCATTGTGTCATGCTTGTGCCACCTGGGGCATGGGAAGGGAGGAGCAAGGTGTCAACAGGAGCAGTTCTTTGCCAAACAAGGGAATAAGTTTGTTTGTTTTTTTGTTTTTCTGGGGGAGGGGGTATGGCCCTGTCCTGGCTATGTGGCTATAACTGATAAGGGTCATAGGGACAGTTTTCGGTCACCCCTTTCCTCTGACCAATTCTCCACAGCATGCATTTTTGGTGTGGGTCCAGGTCAATGGACCCACAGAACAGAAATGGTTCCTATAAGTTTTCAAAAGACAAAGGACTTTTCCAAGGGGAGGGGGCATGTTTAGTCACGTGCCAACTAGTCCTAGGCTAGGAATTGGGGGGGTCTGTGTCCCCATCCCAGCTTTTCTACTAAGARTGAGCACCCTACAGTGATAACTGTGCATGCATCAGGCCTGGCAGCCCTGAAGGTGGTGACCACTGTATGGAGGAGTCTGAAGGTCTGGGAGGCCSAGCTGAGGTCTCCCAGCCTCTAACAAGGTGGTGGTGGGAGTGAAACCTGGCTGTGGCTGTCTCCAGAATTCACCTGACCATCCCCATTGGCAAGTCACCGTGCTGGGCCCTAGGTTCCTCTTCTGCCAAAGAAGAGGCCATTTAGCATGTACCACACACACACACACACACACACACACACACACACACACACGCCTCCCCAGATCCCAGCTGCCAGGGACTGTGAGCCTGTGATTAATTCTCTCTGGGAGGTGAAGGGAAGCCCCTAATTGCTCCGCAGGGTGGAGGGTGGGTGTTAAGCCCCAGTTAAGCCCTTCCTCTGGGCTCCGCTTGGTTGGCCCCGGAGAAAGGCTGCTGTCTGTGTCCTGCAGGGGCATTCAAGTGCTTTCTCTCCAGGCTGGCAAGGCCACTCGGGGCCTCCTTAGGTTCAGCAGGCAACACCTGGCAGGTGCACACAGCTGCTCCCCRCCTGGGGACCTGTGGGAAGGGGAAGTGCAGATGGAAGTGGGGCCCGGGAGAGATGGAGCCGGAGGTCAGCAGCGGGAATGGGGTGGGTTCTAACGTGTGGAAATCCCAGTGCCTCCTGCCTCATCGTGAAGCCTYTGGAGCACACGGTTCCTCGGTGGTGGTCTGGGTTCATAGCAGTCCTAACCGCCGGCTTCTGTCTGGGCCCCAAGTTCTGTCTCTTCTTGGTGTTGAGCTCTCACGGTTGTCTGTACTRCACCCTGTCTCCACCGTGTTCCTCTTGGCCACCCCCCCGAGCATGTGCTGGCTCACACTTTCCAGGTCACCTGCAGCTTTATTTTAAAAGATGTCTTTCAGGCCTGATCAAGTAGTTTGATTAAAATATTCACACTCCCACATTTTCATATAGGGAGATAGTCCAGAGGCTCTGGTTTGAATGTCCCCTCCAAGCTCAAGTTGACATTTAATTTCCAGGTAACAGTGTTAAGAGGCTGGTCCTTTAAGAGGTGAAGTGGTCATGTGGGCTCTGCTCTCCTAAATGGATTAATGCTGCCATCGTGGGAGTGGGTTCCTGATRGAAGGATGAGTTCAGYCCTGATTCCTTTCTGTCTCTTGCATTCACTTGCCTTTCCACCTTATGCCATGGAATGACCCTTGCCATATGCCAGCACCATGGTCTTGGATTTCCTAGAGTCCAGAACCAWAGCAACTTCTATTGTTTATAATTTACCCAGTCTCAGGTAATGTGTTGAAACAGCAGAAAATGAACTAAGATACCCAGTATGGTCAAGAACATGGGGTGTGGACTCAGCTAGATTGGGTTCAAGTTTATTGTTTAATATGTTACTGGTTATGGAGCTCAGTCAAGTGACTAACTTCTTTGAGCCTCCCCTTTTTCCTGTGCCATGTGAAGATACCATTGGTTGCTACTTTGTGGGGCTGAAGAKTAAATGAGCTAATAGGTATAAAAACTTTACACTGTACTAGCGTGTCGTCACATTTGGTTACCGAAACATAAGCTAACGCTTTGTTAGCTAAGTGGTTTTACAATTTATTGTATGAGACATACATTTACATATGATATAAAGCAAAGCATATCCATGTCTATTTATTATAATAAGTCAATAATTTATTGTGAGCTTGTGAAGGTAGGGATGGCCTTTTATTTAATGTTCTTCCTTATCAGAATCTCATGTCATAAATCTCTGATGGCCAKGTCCAGTCCTAGTTGCCTGGCGTTATGGCTCTTTCCTCAGCTGCATTTGGGAACAAATTYTCCCCCCAGCATGAAACTGGCTCCGTGACTTAGCGATGTTAGGGGAGSAAGCACAGTTACCTGAATGCCAGTCATGCAACCTGGGCATTCATGGGCAAGCCCTGGTCCAGGCAGCAAGGGAGGGCAGCMAGTGTGTGCCCAGGGTCTAAATGCTGCTCTTCGCTCACATTCTCTCTCCTCACCATGGCCTGGACCCTAGCCTTCTCTGGCTACRTTGGCCTCCTCACTGGTAGTGCCCCTCCAGACTTCTGTAATCAGAATCACTAGGCAAAGGCCTGGCAATGTGCATTTTTGCAGGTCTCCCAGGGAGACCTGGTGTGGGAACCACCACTGGGGACCTACAGCTTCTGCCTCTCTCCTGAGGTCTCACCTGGGTCACATCTGGCCCAGGCACCAAGGGAGTTCAGCACAAGAGCCCTGTGGTTATGGGAGATGGCCCAGCTCTCTAACTAAGGCCTCTCCCAGGAGGAACAAAAATATTGGGAACAGCAGGCAGGATTGTGGGCAGGAGCTCTCTCTTCTTCTCCAGCAACCTAGTGGCCCAGATACCTTCCAGAATGGTTTGAGGCAGTAGCCTTGCGGAGCCTGAGGGGGCCTTGGGAACTGGGGTGCCATTCTGGCTCTGAAACACCTTCATTGCCAGAAACCCGCAGAGAAAAGCTCGCAAATGAGCTAACGTCTCTTCTGTGAATCTGCTTCTTATTTTACAATCCTGTTTGATTGTTCAATGTAGCAAGATATTTCTGAGTACCTGCTCTGTGCCAGGCACCAAGCTAAGACTTAGGGACACTTAGGTGACTTGCAGCTCTCTGAAGGGCTTATGGTCTCTGAAGCATTGTTCAGAGTGAGTGCTGAGGATGAACGCAGCGGAATAACTTGGGCTTATTGAAAGTGTGGATGTCTGAGTCCCCATGCCCTGGTCTGCCTATGCAGAATTTTAGCCAGTGACCTAGGCACACATAATTTTGGAAGATCCCTCATGGAATCTTCTAAAATCACTCTAAAGTTTGAGAACCAGTAGATTAACCACCTTAAAAACAAACAAGCAAAAAAGGTAATGACCCCAATTTTATGTTCATTGTATATACATATATAAGAAAGGAAATTAGGGGCTGGGATTGTAGCTCAGTAGTAGAGCGCTCACCTAGCGCACACAGGGCCTTGGGTTCGATCCTTAGCACCRCATAAAAATAAATGAATGGAATAAAGGTATTGTGTCCAACTACAACTAAAAAATAAATATTTTTTAAAAAGAAGGAAATTAAAATCACTTGTTTTAATCTTACCCTTCTAAGAAAATCATCATTAACATTTTATTGAATGTCCCTCTAGATGTGTGCAGGTCTGCAAGTGGGTGCAGTATATTCAGATGTATATTGTAGCATCCACATGGTACCTGACATTCATTTCTAGGGGGACAGATGGGACAAGAAGCATGGCCCTGACCCTGGTGCACCTACACATGTAAAAGATGTCCAGCACGGCTTGAAGGCTTGCCTTGGTCACCTGCTCACCTGTTCTTCCCTTTTCCCACAGGTATACATTATCAACGTGACCTGGTCCGACTCTACCTCCCAGACCATCTACCGGAGGTACAGCAAGTTCTTTGATCTGCAGGTGAGTTGGCTGGAGCCCAAGTCTTTCTGATGGACTGGCCTCTCATGACCCCCATCAGAGCCGTCATGGTTGGAATTGAGGTTGGTGCAGAGGGACAGATGAGGGAAGCTGTGCTTGTCCATCTGGGATATGGCACGCAGACACTCAGGGCATTATTGACTTGCTCAACAAAGAGGCAGGAGGATGGCTGTGGGTGCTAAGGCCTGAGCAGACATGTCTGTAAACATTCAGGATGAGACACAAGCCGCCACATCATTTCAGGCAAAGAAAAGCAAACATGAGGAGAAGACCGAAACAGAAAATAAGCAACTTTTTGAACTCCAGACGCAAACTGGGCATACCACTGTGTCTGCCTAACCAAATAAGGCACTTGCCACCCAGTTTGTACATGTGGATGGTCGGTGTGTGTCTCTAATTCACACAGGCATGTTCTCACAGGGGGGTGGTATTACAGAGCCTGCAGTTACCACTGCAGACACCCCTTGGTGCCAACCAGTTTCRTTAGTCTTCTTTTAAGTGACAAGTGACACTTTTACATTTATGCTGGTTGAGACAAAAAATATATCTGGGAAGCTTATGCAGCCTACCAGATGGAGAGAAGAGCAGTGACTTTGGGCAGACCTAAGCCCCAGATCAGCTTTCCCTCTGTCTTTGTTTCCCTCTGACACTGTCCTCAGCTTCTATTCCCTCACACCCTGAGGTGCTTGACTGTGAAGAGTTCTTGAATTTCTTATCTGTGGTTCCCAACAGCAGACACACTGACTCTCTCCCAGTTCCAAGTTGACAAACACAAGGGAAGACTCTGATTGGCCTAACTTGGGTCAGGTGCTCTTTCTCGACCAATCAGAATGGCCAGGGATAGAGGGCCTTATAGAACAGACAAGGCCACCAGGGAGTCTACTCCTGTGTGTCAGAGGCAAATGTCAGAGAAGGGAGAGAGTCATTGCAAGTTGACTGAGGTATTCTAGATTCTTCCTCAGGGTGTGAACTTGGTTACACTGGGGTATTCTGGATTCTTCCTCAGGGTGTGAACCTGGTTACACAGACCAGAGACACCCACTCCTAGCCCTCAGGACAAGAGTTCCCTCCTTTGCTTGCTTGCAGGCCTTTGATGGTGGGTTGTCTGAGAGGCAAGACTGAATGTTTGCYCCCTAATACCTGATTTTATCTCCTGTCCTTATTGTGCTTCCTCTGAGACAAACCAAAGGTAATTCAGCTGCCTGTATTACCTTCCTTTATTCCCTGGTCATTCTGACGGAATGTCCCATTGCATATGGGATTGAAAGCCATTCCTTATCCTCTGCCTTCCTTCTCTTCCTCTTTCAGTTCCTGTCCAGTCTCCTTGGGTCCTTCCAGCATAAACTGGTGGGATTTGCTGACACCCCATCAATGAGTACAGTGTGCCGGACAGGAAATGATAACTCAGTTGGGGAGAGGCAACCTGAAAGGGCTCATTGATGAGTGGGATGAGGTCTGAAAGCCAGTGGAAACTTCCAAATCAGGACTTTTCTTCTCCCCCCTTTCCGTTCTGGCCCCCTACTCCCTCCCTAGAATCTCACAAGAAAGGAATTTGCTTCCCCTCTTCTCCCTTGCCCAGAGGGCTCATKTCCTGCATGTTGGGAGGGGACACAAGCATGGAACAACTTGTCGTGATGGCCAGGCTTGTCCTTGTGGGTCCTTACCATCAGTGTGCCATTATCTGTGGTTCCCACATCTGCAGATTCAACCAACTGCAGATCAAAAATRTTTGGGAAAAARGTTTCTCTGAACATGTACWGACTTTATTCCTTGTCATTATTCCCTAAACAGTGCCGTAGAATAGTTGTTTCCAAGAAATCTAGAGATTTAAAGTATGGGAGGATCTGCMCAGSTTATATGCAAATACTGTGCCATTTTATATAAGGGACTTGAGCACCAGAGATTTTGATATTGGTCCTGGAACCAATTTTCTGTGGACCCTGAGAAATAACTGCAGATACAGCTGGAGGGGGTTGAGCTGCACCTTTGGAATTTGGCCTTGGAACCCAACATAGCATTTTTGTGAGCCCCTTCACACACCATGTGMCTTCTCCCATTCATTTTCACTTTCCATAGTGTTCATTCACTTATTTTCATGACTTTCTTATTTATCAGGATTGCTGGTTTTAATATGGTAGCTCCTATAGAGGAAGAGAAAACGGAATGCGTAACTCTGGTTTTCTAAGAGGCTGTGTAGAGAGACATGTTGCCTGAGACTGGTTCCTGACTATCATCATGTAACTCTGGAAAGGTTCTTTAACTGCTCCAGACTCAGTTCTCTGCTCTGCAGAATGAAAGCCTGAATGGTATTCACTTGGCAGGGTTGTCCTGAGGATTTGATGAGGTATCACAAGTGATGAGATGTTGGGCTGTGCTGTCCAAGGGGCTGGGGCTTTGGATCTATCCCATGTGTGCTTCACCCTGCAGATGTCCTGCTGTGTGCTGGAGTATTCAGAGTATGCAGGTACAGCCTCTGTCTGGAAGGGGCCTCTGGGGTAGGCAGGAGAAGGAGTAGCAAAAATGGCACAGGCTGAGAAGCAGACTTGAGCAAGACAAGGTCTCTTCCTCCCGGGTGGCCCACAGGCCTGGTCTCAGAACCATCTTGCCCCTCCCCTTTCTGGCTGAGCCCCACCTCCCCCTGACCATAAAGGCCAGGCTCAAGAAGCCAGCCCAAGGAAAACTGCATGTGGTTCTGGGCCTTCTTGGGGCTACAGACCCATTGGTGAATCTGGTAGAAACCTTTTCCCCAGAAAAAGCGCATATACGTACAATTTTATTTACAGCAGCAAGTTTTCACGGACCCCCAGTGGGCCTCTAACAAAGAGCCACCGAGCCAAACTAGTTTAGATCATGAATTTTGCATTCCTTTCTGGTGCTGCTTGGACACCATTTGGGGATTTATATATGGCATTCTGAGGATCGCATGTGGCCTGGATACCCCTTTGATGGTACCCTGGGCCACACTCCCCCCCAGCACAAGTTGGTTACTCTGTCCCCAGTGTGGGTGTCCTTATGTATTCCCCCTGATTTCTCCCCTGCCACATGGTGTCTTTTGCCTCTGGAGGAGGTCAGGTTACCCCAAGAAGGCCTTGGGTTCCCACCTCTAATGTAACTCAGGAATCGTGTGCAAGGTGATACCAAATGAACCTGACCCTCCTCTGACAGTGAGTTGAGGGCCATGGGGTACATTCAGATCCAATCTCATCCAGAGAAGCACACTTCCATTTTTCCCTCTAGGGGGCCAGCAGGGAGWTGCACAGCCATGCCCTGCCCTGCATGTCCCAAGCCATGAGGTCAGAGAGCAATTAAAAGGTGCTGTATTGCAGACCTGACCAGAACCCCCAGACTGGGCTTTTCATTTCTCTCTGCTGCAGAGTCCAGGCCAGCACCATCCCCCACCCCACTCTATGCACACTGAGATTCGGGACGTCACTCTGGGTTCCCATCTTCCTCTGCCGGGACCTGACTGCTCTGTACATGGAGAAAAATCCCTGGGCATGGACAGGTTCAGGCACACAACATAGCAGCCAGCCCTGAGGGGCAGCAAGAGGGAGCCAGCGCCAGAGGGCTTGCACTTGTGACCTCTTTGAGGTGACCCATGGCATTACTGAGCCCGCTACAGGGCACTTAGACCTCTGATGGTACACAGGTACAGAGAAGGTGTGCAGAGAAGGTGGTTCTTCATAGGCCATAGGGGAAATTGCAGGGCTAGGGGAGAGAAGGCAGAGAAGTCAGAGATGGCAGGTAAGTGCTCCTGCAGCGCTTACCCAAGCCTTAGCCTGGGCAGGGCAGATCCTGTTATCTCGCTGCTCCCTTCCCACCCTGCCACACACCTTCCTCACTGCTGGCTAACTGCTTCTGGCAAAGCCCCCAGTTAAGGTTGTCAGATAAGTACCAAATGTCCTATAAGCTGAATTTCAGATAAACAACAAATCCTTTTTTTTTTTATATGTGTATTCCAAATATTACATTGGAAGTACTCACACTAAAAAAGCAATTTGTTCTTTATGTGAAATTCAGAAGTTTACTGTGTGTTCTGCATTTTTATTTGCTCAATCTGACAGTCCMACCCTGGCTATGTGAGTGGTGAGAGTGGAAGCACAAAGAGAATGAGACACATAAGCCTGCRCAGAGCTTGCCAAGGCATTTGTGCTTTGCAGAGCAAAAATGGCACAGGCCGAGAAGCAGACTTAAGCAGGACAAGGTCTCTTCCTGCCGGGAGTCTATATCTAGTGGGGAGAGAAGACTTTTATTTATTTATTTATTGGTACTAGGGATTTAACCCAGGGGCACTCGACCACTGAGCTACATCCCCAGCCTTTTTCATTCTTTGTTTTTGAGACAGGGTCTTGCTAAATTGCTTGGGACCTTGCTAAGTTGCTGAGGTTAGTCTTGAACTTGCAATCCTCCCTCAGCCTCCCGAGCTGCTGGGATTACAGGCATGCATCGCCACGCCCGGTGGAGAAAAGATTTTTTGATAATTAGTTCACTGTAGATGAGATAAATACTAGATTGGGGTACAAAAAACATGCTCTRMGGGATTGGAGTTGTGGCTCAGWGGCAGAGYRCTTGCCTAGCACATGCGAGGCACTGGGTTTGATCCTYAGCACCACATAAAATAAGTAAAATAAAGGTATTGTGTCCAACTACGGTTAAAAAAAAACTTTAAAAAAATGCTCTGTGATAAAGAGGAAGAAAAGTGCATTTTTCCTGGGAGGTAGACAGAGTACACCCATATGGTCTCAATTGGTGGTGGTAGCCTGGAGTGATAGACATATGCCCCCATCCCTCCTTTGGGGGGATTTGGTTGGGTTTTGAGAACCACAGTTATTGGARTGAAGTGTGTCCCTAATTTATTTGTTAGCTTGTTCACCCATTTATTTCTGCTTCTTCCCTCCCTCCCTCCTTCCCTCCATCCATTCAACAGGTAGGTAGTGTCTGCCCTCCTCATCCCCGGTGGTGTGCTAGGCTCTGGGGGCACA